AAAGGCATACCCATTCTACAGAATCTTAATTTAACCATCAAAGGTGGCACTACTGTAGCCTTAGTAGGACCTTCCGGTTCCGGCAAATCCACTTGCGTGCAGCTACTTTTGCGCTACTACGATCCCGTTAGGGGTAAAGTCAATCTCAGCGGTGTGCCAACTACAGAGTTCTCACTCGATATGCTGCGCTGCAGTATGGGCCTAGTCTCACAAGAACCTGTTTTATTCGACCGCTCGATTGCCGAGAACATCGCATATGGCAACAACTTCCGCGATGATATTCCAATGGCGGAAATAATTGAAGCGGCCAAGAAATCAAACATTCATCAGTTCATCGCCTCTCTGCCGCACGGCTATAATACTCGCCTGGGTAGCAAAGGCGCACAACTCTCGGGTGGACAAAAGCAACGCATTGCCATTGCACGAGCAATGGTACGCAATCCCAATATACTGATATTGGACGAGGCTACATCGGCATTGGATATGGAAAGCGAGAAAGTGGTGCAGGAGGCATTGGATGTAGCACGCAGCGGTCGTACTTGTCTCACAATAGCACATCGCCTGACCACAGTGCGCGATGCCGATCTGATTTGTGTGCTGAAGAAAGGTGTGGTGGTTGAGAAGGGCACTCATGAGGAGTTGATGGCGCTGAATGGCATATATGCGGAACTGTATATGATGCAGCAGGTCGCCTAGGCCGGTACGTGTCTCGCAGTTGAACTGTCAAGTTTAAGTTTCTCTTGTTACATATTTATAGGGTGTACATATGTGTATCAGTAGATAAATTTTTAAATCGAATTTAAACATTAACTTATTGTTTATTAGTTCCTTACGAGCAAAATAGCAGAATAAATGTTTAACTATTTAATTAACTTAGATCCTAGCTGTGTGTACAACTTTAGATAAGGCTCAAAGTCGGCTGTCCGTCATTGCACCAGGATTAGCGAGCGCATTCTTACGTTCCTGTATGGCGCAAGTAAGTTTGCGAAATGGGCCCAGCGGCAGTGCTAGGGACTTCAAGTCCGCCTCTGTTAGTAGTATCAAAGTATCCAAATCGATTTGCTGCTTCTGGAAGCTGAAAAAGCAAAAACATGTACTACACTTCTAAGCCCTTTTCGTAAGCTTTTCAAACATTTACACAGCCAAATACTCATCCAGGCCCCAGGCGGTGAGAAAGCGCGCTATTGGCGTCCCTGCATTTTCCTGCTCATCATCACTGTACCCATCTGCGCCTTCGGAATCTGAATCAGATATATTGAGGAAAGACCTTTGTTTATTGCTACGCGCTTTCGCCGCTGTTGTTGCCGCGCCTTGTCGGCCGGTTACCGTTCCGGCACCTGTAATGCCTGCTGTTTCCATATCTGGTTGCAGTTGACTCAGCGCTGCTGTCACCGAACGTCGAAATGCTATGCTACCCAACATTGGACGATCGAAAAGTCCCGCTGGGCGTTGCATTGCGAACTCTTCATCAAGTCGGCCAGTGGATGTACGCGAATCGCCTAGTATGTCTGGTTGTGAGAAAGAACGCGAGAGCGCACCATACCCTAGCTTGATAGTTTCACGTTCTCGATCGCTGCTCGGCTCGTCGACTTCGAAAACATCACTGATTTTGCCGCGTTTGCTGCTCTCTTCGTTCGAGCTGAATGTACCCACATATAAAACCTCCGAGTCGCGTTGTACGCCAACGAGAGAGGTTACAGTGCGTTTGCCATCCGGCTCGATGCCACCGATCTTAAAGCCGGTCTCTTCGCCTTTATTGGAGTGCTGCTGTAATAGATGTTGACCGCGCAACTTCTTCTGTACAGTGCCAGCGCGACTCGCAATCGAACCCATGCTGCCGCCACTGCCACTGCCTGGTGATACGAGCTCGCTGAATTTGGTGGCTGTGCTGCCGCTGCTGATGCTGGGACATGGCGCTGCAGCAGGCGCCGTTTCCCTTGAAGGTTTGTGCAGATTGCCCTGGCTTGACCAAATCTTTTGTTTCAGTGTTGACAGCATATTCGACTTATTGGTATTGAGTGTGGCAGCCATTGCTTTGTTGCTCACATCGACTTGCTCGCTTTCAAGCTTCTGTTGGCGTTTCATGTACTCGCGCATGCGTTTCTCACAGTTTTTTTCTGCCACTTCACGCATAGCTTTTGCCTTTTTTCTGTTGTGAAAATTGGGAAAATTAGATATGTTTTTAAGTATATGTATGTATGTATGTATGTAAGTATGTAGGTGGGAGTATGCCCAAGTAAAAATTCTTACTTCTCATTAGTCTCGAAATTCGCTGTGGCGCTATCCAAATAGCGCAAGATGTCATCGCGATTATTAATGGCAGCCAAATCTTTGGCACTGTGCCGATCAATGTCCAGTGCATAGATATTCACGCCGAATTTTACAAGGAAATCCACGCAGTGTAGGTGACCCTTGGCTGAGGCCAAGTGCAGCGCGGTATTGCCGAATTGGTCACATTTGTCTGGATCGCCACTGTAATAAGCAAGAGATATTTGCATGAAATCATCAAATCGTCATCATATTGGTATGTACATATATTGTAATATGGTAGGGATCAATGTAAGTCACAGTATGTTACCCTCTTCCACAGAGCAAGCGCAATGCATCTAAACGTCCCTCGAAAGCAGCCCAGAGTACAGGTGTCATGGAGTCGTCATCTTTGGCATTGGCGTCCTTGCGTGAGGCCTCCTTTAGCACATCGAGTAGGCCATCTTTTGCGGCTCTGGAAATGAAGAAAAATATAGGAACCATTGTAGAATGAATCCAATAATTTTAATAGTACAAGCAGTTATTTATAGAAAACTGTAACTAATTTTATACTTCGGCAGTTGTTTTGAAGTTCAAAATAAGATTTTAGAGAGTAATCTACCGACTTTCGCAC